TAAATGTCTTACATGCATTAACCCAGCTTGGCCCAGCAATGATCTAAATGTCTTACATGCATTAACCCAGCTTGGCCTTATCAAACCAGGGTGAACACTATGCCATGGCAAAGGCAGGGCTCATCCTAGGAGGCTGGAGGCTGAGCTGAGAGGCTTGGAAGGGAGGGGAAAAGAGGGGAGGAAATCCACCCTCAGGTCACTGAGTCTCTTGGTCATGGTAAAGATTCTAGATAAAGTCCTACTCATTTGACAGCTTTGGCCCTCCCCCAACCATCTGGATCCCTGATACTGGCCCTACACCCACTCAGGGCTGGTTGCCTTCCCCAGAGGGGTGCCTCCTCCATCACCCCACTCCAACACTACATAGGTAACTTCTCATGACTGGCTGGATGTGTCCCTCAAGTTCTTCTAGAAAAAGAAAAGGTGCTTGGATCTTGGAATGCATCTTTCCACAGAACTACAGACTGATGGTTGCAGTCCCAGAAAAACCCTTTATTACACACGTACCCACACGGAGCACTAACGAGTGTGAGTTGCCGATTCCATAAAGGATCTCCCCACTTCCCAGGAGCCCACATATCAGGCAACAGGACAGAAAGGAGGGCTTGTGAGCCTTCACACCCTCATTGGCATTGGCTGCCATCAGACACTTCCCCTCTGAGTCCTTGATCTATAAGGCTCCAGCCTTAGCTGTCCCACAGGCTGAATTCACCCCAAACCTGGCCTCTTTCCCATTTTTTTATTGCCTAAATGGACTCTCCAGCTGCACCTTCTGGCAACTCCCCTCTGGCCAAACCCACTGTGCTCCAGAGGCCAGGGCAGATGACCAGGAGGCCTGGATTCTGCCACCAGTGGCTGAGCCTTCTTTTGGACTTTGCCATTCTCCTGTGTAAGAATATAAAGGGCATGCAAGAAACTACCCATGGCTCCCCTGATTCCAAAGAGAATCAACCACCTTCATTTGCCTTCCCCTTTCCATGCCCCTCCATGCTCTCATGCTGCTAACAATTGTCTCATTCTTCCCCCAGCAAACTAGCACAAAATGTCAGTGTCCAATTTGACTCTTTTCTCCCTCCCTCAAATCCAATCGGTCACCAAATCCTGCAGGATTTCTTGGCAAGTTCACTCACTTCTGTTTCCTCCACTCCATCCCTATTGCCATTGCCTTGATTTAGGTCCTAATCCACTCCAGTGGGTTAGTCCAACAGTGCATGCTCATGAGGAGCTCCTCTCCTCCTCCAATCTGCCCTACCAGCCCTGAATCCTTCACAAAGCACAGCTTTCACCATGTCTTTTCCATACTCATTGACATTTGATGTCATCAGAATAAAATTTAAATTATCTAGCTTCAACTTCTAAGGCCTTCTGTATCTCTTCCCTGCCTAAGACTACAGCCTCACCTCTCCTGCTGTCCCCTCCCCACCTCACTCCATGACTCTAGCCATGTGTGCCACTCCTCACTGGGCTTGTCCTAGTTTTTCAGGTTCTGCTCTTGTCCCTTCTCTCATCTCCTCCAAAATAACCTGCCTCTTTTCCCCTTTACTGAGCAAACACTGCAAAACCAGCTAGCTCAAGGCTCCTGCCTGCCACAAAATCTTCCTGAACATCTGCCACGAGTAGGCTGCACACAAGGGCTGATGCAGACCTAGAGCAGCTCAGAGTCTGCAGGGCTTGTAGACACAGATATGCAAATAAAGTGCCTAAGCACCATAACAGAGATCTGTATCTGATGCTGTATATATGTACTATTAGAAAGAAGAGTAAACATGACTTGGGGGTGGGGAAGAAGAGGTGTTTTAAGAGTTTGATCTGCATCCTGAAGGATTAATAGGAGTGCATTCATGTCACAGAGCAAAGAACAAAGGGTCTTCCAGGAAGAGGAAATAGTGTATGCAAAGACAGAGAGGCACTAAGGACAGAAATTGGTGAGGTACTCAGTTTGGGGAACAGTAGCGATGCAGCTGGTGAGCTAAATTATTGCCAGCTTCTACAGGCCCTTGAATGCCGTACCAGGATGTTGTACTTTATCCTTTCAGAGAGGATAAAGTCTAGCCTTTCTATCTACAGATGTGCTAGAGGTCAAGATTACTACACAACAGGGAACATAGGGATTAAAAGCATTGCACCCAATGAATGTTCAGTTGTCAGTGTGCATAACTATGTATGTGACAGAGGAAATGGAAGTAAGAATTACCAAGGAGCACCAAGTTAGGACTTACCTGGAAGCACTAAACATATAAATTTCCTGAGAATTAGCACTCCCCTGGAACTTGAAAGTCCTCGGTGTGATCTGGGCGTAAAGCTAAAGAGATGCTCTGGGACAGCACTTCCCAGATTATTTACCTGGTATGTGAGATAAGAATGGACTTCCTAAAGAGCCACAGGGTCACAGGACCTGGCCTTCAGGGTCTATGAAGGATACAGCCCACCATTCCGAGCCGACCTGTGGATTCTGTGAAAGCTGACACATAGGTGCCATCCAGTGTTGAAACCCAAGGATGAGGCCAGGGAATAAAGTGGAACTGCTCTGAGGAAGGAGGAAGCAGGGAAAATACTAACTCAGGACAACACAAAACTGCCAAAGTGTTGGCCTAGTTGTGCCTGCACCATGTGTGATATCTTTTTTATTTTGTCTGAGTGTAACTTCTTGAATGGGGGTACACAGTCTGGGAACTTAATAAATGCTTAAATGCCTCATAAGTGTGTTTACATTAGCTCTTCCTTCTCATGTCTCCCAAAGGAGAATCCACCAGAGGATTTTAAGCAGGGGAGTGTCATTAACAGATTTGTTCATGGAAAAAAAAAAATCTGATGGCCAGGTAAAACATAACTTCAAATCTTACCCCAAATTGTTATAGTCCTAAGTGCACACCATTCCTCCTCCAAAGCTGGATTCTCCCAGAATCATTCTTCCCTCCTACTTAACCTGTGCGGTCAGTCAAGAGACCGACATGGCCCACTCCCTTGCCCCCTGTCCTACAGAATCTGTCTTTCTGGAGTCTCTCCTGCCTCAGTGGCCTGCTCTCTGAGACCCAGTATAAGGCCTCATCACTTCCGTCCTGAGTGACTTTCCAGGCTCCTGTCTGGGCTCTCCACCCCGGTGTCTTTGCCCTCTGGTCCCTGCTTCCCACAGCAGTGCCAGGACAGCCTTCCCACTCAGCTTTCATCAAATCGCCTAGGGAAAACTTGGTTAAAAACATCCCAAACCTACTTTGTCTGAATAGTTTAAAAGCCCCTCAGGCAATTCTGAGGCATACCAGGTTTGCAATCTACTGCTCTAAATCTTTGTTGCAGATAGCGAAGGAATCACACAACCCAGGAGCAGATAGGTTAGCAATGCAGACTGTCAGGTCACACCCCTGACCCAGTGACCAGAATCTGCATTTGAACAAGATCCTCAGGTGATTAAGTTTGTTCAAGTTGAGAAGCACTGTTTGAAAGTGTTTCCTGACCATTCATGCCACAATATTTACTGGGTTTTCTCCACATCACAGTAGGGTTTGGGAAGTTGGGAGGGTCTAGGGTGAAGGGCCCTGACTTCACAGAAACATCGGACCTTCCCCTACTTAAAATCTGTTATTGGCTTCTGTGCTTTCAGACAACATTCAGACTCTGCACCTGAACTTCATCACATGCTAGGACCATGTTTTTCATCCTTGTCAACTTTATTGTTTACCACTAGCCATAGGAGCCCACCTGGGCAACTTGCCACTTCTCAGGGCATGTCACCCCCTTTTTGAAATTGCCCCAGATTTTCCCTGCTCAGATGAAAGACAGAAATTCGCACAACTCTGTTCTCATCTCCTTCCTGGAACCTGCAATAGCTACCCCAGTAATGAAGAGACCATGATGCTCATGTCCCCCCAGGAGCAATAAACCAGTAACTGGCACAGCATCACATCTCAGTCATAATAATAATGTGTTAAATTCAAAGTCATTTAAACATGAATATAAGCAGAATACAAATAGGCTTCCTCTCTTAAGCCCCAAAGAGAAACACACAGTCTCTAAATCAAATAACTATGTGTTTTCCATATATAAACAATAACCAAAGGCTGAACATGCTTAAGATGAATTAATTACATTTACCGCCAACTAGCTTTCTGGAGTTGGTCGTTTAAATTCACATAAATGCAACATAAAATTTGGACACACTTGAGATTTGTATTATCATCAATTAAGGAACTGGGAGAGGAAGGAGAAGAAGAGAAAGAAGTAGACCACAATTTGGAAGGGAGACCAATATATACCAAACACCCAGCTGCTGTAAATGTAAAAATATAATGCTTCAGATTTTTTAAAGGATTAAACACTGACTAGAATGCCTGTTTCAAGCCTATCCAAACTTTGAAAGTTCTGATCTTTAGACATATAATTTTATTTTTATCTGAGGACAAATTGTAAGGTCTAGAGTCAGGATGTCAGGAGAGAGAAGAGGAGCCCACTTTCAAACAGAACCACCTCTTCCAACAGTTTACCGGGGGGCACAGCTTGAGAGTTTCAAAGACATGTTGCATTTTTGCAATTACGGTATAGAGTTAGTTTCAGCCAAGGCTTTGCATCTGGACTCATGCTCCATCGCACACAGATTTGCTTGGGCAAACAGACTATAAAATTCCTAACCACCTTGAGCTCTCTAGATTAGCTGGGGCTCCAGGGGACAGAGCAGAGCTCTGATGTACCACACAGAACTTAAGTGACCGACCACCCAGAGCATCTCCGGGGACATCCTAGCACCTGTAGGAGCACAGACTGTCCGTAGATCCCAAGAGATTCAGAACAAATCTATAGGAATTATACCCTCCACCCAGTCTTCTGGACAGAGAAGTGGGTCCCCGCCCTCGCGCCTGGGACACGCTCTGGGACCTATACTGTCACTGATCTCTCTTCCCCGGGTGGTTCTAGGGTCTGGGGGCTCTCGGTATCCAGGCAGTGCCCCTGCGGGCGCTCCCACACGGGACAGCGCAGCGGGCCCGGGAGCCCTGGGAGAGCCCACTGACCTGCATGAAGCGTTCCTCTCCGGGCGGCTCAGGTGTGCAGACCGCTCCCGGGTCCCTCCCACTTCGGAACATGAGAGTTGAGAGCCGAGCTGCAGGCCACTGACCCACCGACCAACTGACCGACCGACCGACTAACAGGCGGACCGACCGGCAGCGGCCGGGTCTGGAGCCCACGTGACGGGGGCGGGGACCCACGGGAGCCTGGTCCAGGAGCACCCGCTTCCCCCGCCTTCCTTCCCCCTGGGACCGCCCTCCGTGGCTCCCGGACCCAGTCCGGCACCGTTGCGAACCGCAGGGACCAGCCCACCCCAGGTTCCGGTTACTCAGGGTCCAACCTGGCCAACCCCGCCCCTTCGAACCTGCCTTCGCCTGGGTCGGACTAGCCCAGGCCCCGCCCCCTAGACCGCACCAGGTTTCCGAGCACCGCCCCTCTCCGAAAGCCACGCCCCTCCCTGGAGCCAGACCCCGCTCCTGTCACCTCCCCACCCCGCACCCTTCTCGTCCCGGGGAGGCAGCCGAGTGGTTCCCGCTCTCAGTCCCCGGGGCTTCTCCGGCTCTTCAGCACCATTCATCGGCGGAAAGGAATGACAACAGGGAAATAGGAAATTTGTGTCGCGAAGTGCAGAAAGAGAGAAGCCATAAAAACACTACTTAGAGGCACACCCAGCACAGCAACCCTGTGGGTGTCTGGACTCCCGGAGCCGTGCGATTCTGTCCAAACTGAGGATGGCACGGGAAGGCTCGTTTCTCGCCTCTGACTTCCCACCCCACCGCCCTATCCTCTCCCCTCATTATGGAAGCCTCTGAGACAACCTAGGGTCTACCACTTGAACCCCTCTACCAGGGGTGGAGGTCCCTCTAGTGGTCAGCGCCAACTAAAGGAACTAGTCCCCAATCTTACGAACGGCTGAGCACCAGAAGCACTTCCCTGTGCGCAGTACCAAGGCTGGAGTACATAAGCCCAAGAAATGCTTTGCAGGTCCAACCACAGGAATGGATGCTAGAATCTGGGCAGGACTGGGCCCTGAAGACCTAGTCCAATGCCTTCCGCCAGTGTGAGGCCTGAATCCCCTTTGGATGCACTGCTAGTTGTTGCCCCACCTAGGCCTCCAAGGACTAGCTGCTCATTTCAGCTGATTAAAATCCCTGTGGGCCACAGATGGCATCCACACCGGGGACTCTGGCCTAGTCCCCAGCTCTGGCAGGAGTCACTATGGCCTTGACCTCAGTTTTTTTTTCTGTACATTTCTTCAGGCTGAAGTGTTGACAAAGTCCACAAGACACATCCTTTTTTTTTTTTTTTTTTTTTCCCCAAATTACCCTGGTGGTCTGAAATTACCAGTGTGCTCAGAAGTCTTTTACATGTGAACAGAACTTAAGCCACCCTGGCAAATATGAGACTCTGGTCACTGTGGGAACCTGGCCAGAAGCAGACTAAGGGCAAAGCCAGCTGAGGAAGGCTGGGGCCCACAAGAGTTGTGTTACAACAGGACACCCTTCAGTTCTCTTTCACTTCCTTAAAATAGCAGCAGAGGCTTTTGTAGATGAGGCAGCCACAGTTCACATGAGTTCATGGGTATTCCCAAATCCCACGTCATTGCTCCAGTGGACCCACTGCCCAGACCCCAGACCCCAGAAAATGCTGATCTATTGTCAGAATGATGCAATTAATTTTTTACGATCACTTTTTAAGTCACTGGCTCTCGAGCTTATTTGCACTTTGGAACAACTTAGGAGGAGGGGACTTAAAAATGCATCTGAGTCCCACCTCCAGAGGTTCTGATTTGATGGTTTGGGGTTATGGCCTGTCATTAGGATTTTTTTAAGTGCCTCAGGTGATTCTTATGTGCAATAAAGTTTAAAGACCATTTGTATAGATTATATGGACTTCAATCCAGACTAAAATTCAACAAAAACCCCAGAGCTGAAAGGTAATTCACCTGGAGGAAGCTCCAAACAGTATACAGAAATGGCACATTAACAGGGGCTTTCTGGAGAAAAATGTCTTGACCTAAAAGAGTGATTCTAGCTGCAGGAATTTAAAGTGTCAGAATGCATTGTTAGTGAAAAGTGCACCCTGAAAAAAACTATTAATTCAAAGCATATCACAAATGAAAGTCAACCTCTCTGCACCGCCAGAGGAACTATGTACCCGGGACTCGCACATAACTACACTCGCTAATAACTCCACTCTACCCTCCTCTGTGAGGCAGCTCACATTCCTTATCCCTGTGAAATAGGTCATCTTCTTTTACCTGTAGGGTAGGTAATGTCCCCAAAGCACAATACCATCATGTTTATTCATACCTGCTTCATTCCGCAGCAGATTTGGCTTGCCATATTGCTCTATTAGCATGGTGGGTAATTACATTCTATCCATGAAGTGAATAATTCTATTCTGTCAAAGATCTACTCAAATGCTAAGGCAGGGGAAAAACCTCTCTTCATTGCTTGTGGCCCTGGCCTGAGCTTGGCAGAGTCTGGAAACAGCTGCAAGTGTACAAAGCAAGCCCTCTCATGTGACCAACCTGGAAAGACAGAGGCCTCAGCACATGACACGGACTGGCACCACAGCCCGCACTTGTGACCCAACCAGGCTGAATTGGACGTACCCGTGGGAAAGATTTTGAAGGAGCCCTGCTGGCCTGGCACAGCTGCCCTCCATCCCCTGTGGCACATGGAATGGCTGCTGTGGCAGGGAGTCACTTGGAGGCTCTCTGGCTTCCATCCAGATTCCAGAATATTTACCAAGGCCTTCAGAGTGTCGGGGGTTGCTCACAGTAAACTCAGGCCCTGAAACTGCTTTGCTTGAGGGCATGTAGGCAAATATACCCCGATGAGATTTGTTTGCTTAGTGTCAGTTTTATTGTATCTCAAGCAAGAAGAGAGATGCAGGGAAAGTTAGACAAGAGGAGACTAGAGGTAGGGTCCTCACCCTCAGGCTGGTTTTCTGGAGCAAGTAAGTAGCTTTTGAAAACCCCATAGGAAGGTCTTGTGGGGACATGAAAAGTGTTTAAAGGGGAAGACCATTATTTTTAGTATAAAATGATGAATGTATTGCTTATAAAAGTTTCGTTTAACAAACATGCATACGGGGGGGGGGGACCAAAAAAAAACTGCAATTTATTTATAAAAAATTGTGTATTTATTCTTACATGTTTAAACTTCAGGCACCTTCAAAGTCCTCTCCATCTGATGCAATACACCTATTAAGACATTTTCCCACTGCTCAAAACAGTTTTTGAACTTGTTGATTTTGATTCCTTTTAATGCTTCTGCCACTTGTTTGTTTCACCTCTTCCACATTGGTAACACATTGCCCTTTGAGATCCTGTTCATCTGGGAAAAAAAAAAAAAAGTCCCTTGGGATGAGATCAGGTGAATAGGGAGGGTGGGGCATGATGGTCGTGCCGTCTTTGGTCAAAAAGCTGCTGAATACTCAGTGCAGTGTGGGCCAGTGTGCTGGTAAATCGCTTATCATGAAATGGGTAAACCCATTGAGAGGGTCTTCAAAAAAATTCCCTGAAGCCAAACACAGCCTCTCACAACAACGCCAATTGGTACACTGATACAGATGGGTTCCTAGAACATTTACCTAGTGGGGCAAAGTCTGTATTACAAGGGGCCAGCCCTCTAGAAGATAATTCCTGTTTTGGGGGGTCCTCCCTTGTATTTGATGCTTCCTGGGGCAATGAAAAAATGATGGGATTTGCAGTATCTAGCTTTTATTTTGTAGCTGTGTTACTTTGAATGGCTCACCTAAGCTCTCCTCATCTCTAAAATGGCAACTACAAAGATCTGTCCTACATACAAGACTAAAGTAAGAATTAAATGATGTAACATAGGTGCAAACACTTTGTACCTGGAAGGTGGTATTCAAATGTTAATGTAGTTAACTTATTATTATATCTATCTAGCTTGATGGAGAGGCAGAGCCAGGGAAAATCAAGATTAAACATCAATAAAAAAATAGTAGTTTAGTTGGGGAGTAAAAATAGAATATCAAAAGGCTTGTGTAAAAGAGGAAAGAGTTTGAGCAAAGGCCAGAGAAGAGAAAAGCCAGGAGTATTAGGGGTGGCCCACAAGTCTAACTGCTTGGAGGCGTGGGATGGGTGGAGTTAGAGTAAATGCTAGTAAAAGAAAAGGCTGGAAGTAAGCTGGATCAGAATGTGGAAGGCTTTGAGTGCTGGGAGGTTTGGATGGGTTAGAATTTGTTGAAATTTCTGAATGACAGACTCTCATTTAAGCTCTTAGAAGGTCTCTAAGGCAGTAACAACAGGGAGAATACACATGCATTTTGACTTCTAGACTGTATCGCTGTATGTGCTTAGAGGGATACAGTATTGTAAAAGGGGCTGTGGCACCCATGTCCTGGAGAGAAGCTTCCAAGGCCAAGGTCCTCTCCCTCTGGGAAGTAATGCATTACTTCAGAGGTTGCTTTCTCTTTGTCTGGAGCTTGTAAATGATCTGGTTTCCATCATTCCAGGCATAGAGCTGCTTATCTCTGGCATTGTAATGGATCATGGAGTGACTTCTTGGCCGCTTGGGAAAGAACAAGTTGGGCAGATCCTCCTCGCTGATAGTGCCTCGTGGGTCATAGGCGCAGGTGATGCGATGCAGGCCATGGCCACCAGCACTATAGACCACATAAAGAACCCCACACAAGAGGAACGCAGCTTCTGCATCCTGGCTTCCACAAGGAGTGTCCCATGAGTGTTCCACTCCCAGTGTGCCAGGCTCAATTTTAGTGAGAACCAAATGGCCATGGATGCCTGGCCCTGAGTGGATGGCCCAGAGCCCATGCTCATCCACAGCCAAGTCAATGTAAGTTGATGGCGAGTGCTGGTAGACCAGCGCTCGGCCTGCTCCTCCCGGGAGCAGCATTCGGTCTTCCACAGTCCTCTTCTGCAGATTGTATTTGATTATCTCATTGGAAGTTCCTTGGTTATGAAAAAATAGGAAGCCTTTGTAGATCACTTGGCCTGTTCCCTGCCAGGAATGTGTTAAGATGAGCTTCCGGGGGCCTGGCTTGGTGCTATCCTCCATGAGTGCCCGCATGTTTGCAAATTCCCAAACAGTGTTGTTTCTGGATCCAATTAAGAAATAAACCTTGGGAGAGTTGCCGACGGCATCTTTCATCCAAGAGCCATGTGTGTCCATAGTCTTCTTCACTATTTTCAGAGACTTTATGCCCGTTAGCATGTTGTCACAGCCTGGCCAAACAGGAGAAAAGGGAGGTTACTTTATAAACATGAGGAGTCTGCTTTTCTTACAGATGGCTTTCTCCCCCCTTTAGTATCTAGAATGAAGTTATCACACATAGATCAATGATGATCTATTACTATGAATTGTCATAAATTTGATTCAGAAGTCAAAGAATTAAATCAACAAACAGATCTCTGCTAAGGGAGTGGCTGTACACCTGGAAGAGTCAGCATGTTACTCGTCAGGACAGCTATTTGCTGCCACAGGCCCTGTTCAGGCCCTGTCCAAACTGTTGGCATCTCTGGGCCACACTGGAGGAGTTGTCTTGGGCCACATATTAAATACACCGTGACACATAATCACACGCAAAAAAAAATCTCATAATGTTTTAAGTAAATTTATGATTTTGTGTTGGGCCTCATTCATAACCATCCTGGGCTGCGTGTGGCCTCTGGGCCACAGGTTGGACACCCTCACCTGGAGAACTTTGAGGTTGACACAGGTGTAACTTAGGTGTGAAGCTGCCTATTTCAACTCCACTTGCCAAGATTTTATTGGGTATCTACTGTGTTCTTAGTGTGTAATGCTCCCAGAACAGTGCTAAATATTGAGGGTAAAAAAAAAAAACAAACTGTATTTCTGACACTGCCATGAAAAAAAATCATGCCTCAGTTAGGATAAGAAACATTTGAAACAAAACCAAATGACCCCAGTTAAGCTCAGCCTAGATCAACAAACCCTCATTCAATCACAGATCTGTGAGAACAAATGATTATTGTTTTAAGTCACTCAATTTGGGGGTTGTTTGTACCACCGTATTTTTGAAGCAACAGATCTCTTCTCTACTCCATGCAAAATCTCTCTCTGTCTCTCTGTGTGTCCCTCTCTGTGTGTCCCGCTCTGTGTGTATATATACACACACACATAGAGGGTGAGCCAAAAGTAGGTTTACAATTGTGAGTACATGAGACACAGAGTTTATTCTTGTATTATTATTTATTAACTGTTGTATTATTTTCCATACAAACAACTTTTCCACACATACATATTCTCCATATAATACAAAAGTAGGTTTCCCATATAAACTTACTTTTGCCCCCCCCATATATTATATAAAATCAACCCTATAACTTCAGGAGATCATCTTCTAGTGAAGGATTCTGACCCTTAAACTACTATAGCATCATAAGAGCTCTACTCATCCATTTGTTTATTTATTCATGAATGTATTCATGCATTTAGTCAGTAGACATTGGATACCTACAAAGACAGGATACTGACCCAGGTGTTATGAGCTGGGGGTCAATGGGCTGAGGTACAATGTAAGTTAGGAGTGATTCTTGCTTAATATGACTAACTAGAATATAAAGCTCAATGTGAAGTTTCTTACACAAGAACAGAGAATAGAGACATCGTTTGAGGCAGAGGTTAATCTTCATTTGAATTGGCCCTTGAAGGATGACATTCTGAGATGGGGGGAAGAATATTCCTGACAGTTGGCAAGAGCATATTTGGGAAAGTCCTCCAAGATTAGTATTAATAAGGTAGTATCAAATTTAAACCAATACCAGCTAAGTACTTGATATTGCCTCAAACTAGATGCATAAAACAAAGTAGTACAATAGATTGAAACCAGCTCTGTGCCTGGAACCTTGAGGCTGGCGCTAAGGAAGATGGATTCTATTCTACTGGCACATAGGGAGATACTGCAGATTTTGAGCAAAGTGAGCAATGGTCAAGACTGTTCAACAAGATTAATTAAGTTGGCAGTCATGTATGCTGGGTACATGAGAGAGGCAAAAATCAGGGAAACCAATTAGAAGAATATTTCAAAAGTTCAAACAGGATGAGGGCATAAACTAGGTGGAGGAAGATGAAATGAAAAGAGGGTTTTATATTTTTCTAGCTCCTCCTTGCCACTTCAGACTATTATCATCCCACTTTTATGCAAAAAAAAAAAACCCTTCTGTCTTTGTATCTCACGCTATCAACTCCTTCCAGTCTAAATCATTGACTATTCTCCAGGACACTCCCCCACATGCGTGAAGAGCCTCTGAGCACCTCAACTCCTTCAACTCCACAGCACCTTACTTTCAAACCACTTCAGTAACCTCTTCCTGTGGTCATACTCGGGATCCCCCTACCCCCAGAGCTGCTCCATATTATCTGTCTAAAACTCTAACATCCTACCTTCCGTAACAACAACATCTGATCCTTTCATTTCTCACTCCTTTGTTCTCCCCTCCTCTGCTCTTCCATTTCCTCATACCACCTCATCCCTTGACCTCTACTTTCTCCCAGGCCATCAGCCCTCTCTTGGTGTCACTTCCTTTACTATGCATCCTAGATCACTTAACAGCTCTCTGAGCAGCTCTACCACCCACCAATCCCTAGTTATTCCACCATATTCAATGCAGACATCTGCCTCTGCTCTGAAGAGCTGTGTGTTGGTGGAGAAAATCTCACAATGGTGCATATTGGTACCACTACACATTAGGGGTCTCCAACCTCAGCTGAGCCCTAAATACAATACTGCTTTTCCTGGTTACCCCCACCTCCCCATCTTCCACACAGCAGCTATCTTTTTTTAACATATACCCTTTATGCCCTCTTCCATCTCTGCTGACCCTCCTCCCTACTACAATCACCACATAGCAGCTGTCTTATTAAAAAATCCCCCCTACAACCACCTCATCATTCCTTTTAAAACAACAGATTAACACTTTAAAAAATAAACACCATTAGACATGAACTCCCTTCACTTCCTTTCCGTCACTTACAAACTTTTCTCTAGTTGTTCCTACCCTTGTTACCCTTCCACATGTCTTAGAAGAGGCCATGTTAGTCATTCCTCCTGTCCAAGACAATATATTCACTGTGCCCTGGCCTTGCCCTTTCCTAGATTTTCCTAGAACTCCTTGATGAATTAGTGCCTTCCTGTTATCTTGACTTGCTCCTTCACTACGAGTTCTTTAGCTTATAAATATCTTGCCTGCATTAAAAAACAATTCTCTCTCAACAGGCACCCTCTTCTGGTTACTTCCCTAGATTCTCTTACAGAATAGTCTGTTCTCTCTGTACCTACTTTCTCACCTCCCATTCTTTCATGTCACCATAACTTCACAGAAAGTGACATACGGTGACACAATGTTCCAAGGCACTTCCCAGCTGAAAAACCAGACCTTTTATGTCCATATGCTCCTTGACCTTTCTGAAACATGACATCATGATCAGTTCCTCCTTCCTGAAGATCTCTTTCTCCTTGATCTTTGAGTCACCACTGTCTCTGTGTGCCTGCTGGCCTTTTCTCTGACTGCTCCTGGCAGTGACAATGTCTGTCTGTATTCCTCGAATGCCACTTCATTTTCCACATCCCCAGTTACACTTTTGCACCCTCCTTGTTTTTAGGCTGTGCCCACTGACCAGCATTCTGTCCAGCGAGATACGGACAGAAGTGGTATAAGCCATTTCCACCTGGGCCTAAACATGCTATTTTCCAGAAGACCTTAGAGTCTTAGAATTTTGGGTCAAGATAAGATTAGTTCTACTGATCATTTCAGGAAAAGTGGGTCATCAGTTCTAATTAAGGACTTGATGTTGGGACCTCTCTGTTAGGCAGTCTATTATGAGGTAAGTAGTGTCATGGAGACAGGGAGTCCTGGTCTTTCGAGAGAGCATGAAGAACCCTGTGGTCTCCCTCAAATCCTGATGAGGTCTGCATTGGGGGCAGGAGAGGATGGTCTGAACAAGAGCATGGAAGTCTATGGGCCTCCCTCACTGACTGGAGGGTGAAATGTGGCATGATAGACATGTGTATAACCACCTCTTAAGAAGAACGGGGCCTCCTGAAGTCCTTCCAAAGGCTTTGGTATAAGAAGCTGGATGTGACAGTGGGTTGTCATTTTCTCCTTAATAAATGCTTGGGTTCTATAGGCAAACTGGAGGTTGTGTAGAGCTAAAGGACAAGAAACAGATGAAGGGAGAGAAACTGGACACAAGGAAGAAAGGTGCACAGAGAAGTCCCACAGGTTCTGAGCTAAGTAAGCATTTTAGCAAACTATTTGTTACTGCCAGATGTTTGGGTAAAAAGTCTACCATACTTCCCTAATCAGGTCATCATCCTCCATTATCATACCTCCTCTTCCTTTAAGCCTCCATCATTCCCTTCTTGCTCTCATATGAAATTCTTGCCTCTTATTTCACTGAGAAAATAAGAGCAATCTGAGAACTACATCTCTTGTTTAAGTTACAATAGACTCCCACATAGTGACCACACCTCCATTCTTGACCCCCATTGTCCATTTCCAGCCAAAGGGAGTTTTGTAAATCCGAAAGTCACATCATGTCACATGTCTGCTCAAAACTCACAAGTGACTTCCCATCTCACTGAGAGTAGTGCTCAAGGTTTTGCCTTCCGGGGCATATGTAAGCTATTCCCCCCACTGCCTCTCTGATTTTGTCTTCTACAACTCTCCTACCTTATTCATTTTGTTCAGCCACACTGGCCTCCTTACTGTTCCTCAAATTGTGTCAAACTCCTTCCTGCCTCAGAAATTGGACACTTTTTGTTCCCTCTGCGTGCAACTTAGCTATCTTCCCCAAGACATCTACATGGCTTCCTCTCTTGCTTCCTTTACATCTGTTCTCAAATGTTTCCTGATCATTAAAGCTTTTTCTGACAACCTGATAAAGAAAAGGCAACCTCTTCTCCAGCTCTCCATACATAGCCCCTTTGCCCTAGTTCATTTTTCTCAAGAGTGCTTCTTATCTTCTACCTGATCTATCATAAATTAATCTGTTAACATCTATTGCTTGACTGCCATCGATAGAGTGTAAACCCCATAAGGGCAGGAGCATTGTCTTACTGCCCGTTCTTTGGTGCATGTCTTGCCCCTGGGATAGCAACTAACACATAGGCCACTATTTGCTGAAGGAAGGGATGAATGAATGAACGAATGAATGAATGAATTTACCAACCACCAAATCTACCATTTGCACCTAAACCCAG